ACGATTATGAGACTGAACTTGTAACAAAGGTATAATTTACAAATTGTAAGTAAACTTGAAAATAGGATCAATAGTTGTTGATAAACCTAAGTAATTCCTTAAAAACGCATTTCGGTTATTTTTAAATAAAAATACTAAAAAATATATAATGACAGTGGCAAGTTCAAAGTGTCACATTTACTTGTATTATTTATTCGTTTTGTGTCCGATAATAGACAAAATTAATACTCCAAATGCATGCCAAGGCTTAAAGCAGCAACAACGCTACACATGTAAGTAAAAATAATTAAGTATCTGAACGAAGAATTCTAGTCTCTTCCGCAATTTGATTGCCCTGACTAACCACCTGTTAGGCCTAATTAATTTTAGAATGTTTTAAAGTATTGCAATTGTGATGTATTTTAATATGTGATATGATGAGGCTGTTGACAAACTGTGGTTGTTTTTGAAATTAATGAATTTTTTTTTAACTATCTGTTATTTTAGAAAAACTGATGATGGTGGAAAAATACACCGAAACGTATTTTGATTAATAAATAGACGATAAATGACTGAAACCCAGGAATGAATTTGATTTGGAATTAAAACATAGTCAGGAAAGTATATACAATTACTGACAATCTTAAGGTATTTTTCGCGAAAAATTAAAACGCTACTTTGGGCCACTCAATGAATTTTTAGGAGTTGACGCGGTGCGACGCAAATGGCTTAGTGCGTCAACCCAACGCACCGGTGCAGTAACTCAGTTCCGTTGCTGCGAAAATGTTGATGACTTTTTCTACTTGTTTTTAGGTTTGTTTTAGGGGCCTTTTATCGGTAATATTTTTAGCATTTCTTCTAAATTTCAGAATTTTCCAGTTTTAGGAGTTACTCTTTTTTCTAAATGCTCAATTTTCTAAAGATTTTCTTAAAAATACTTAAAAAATCTTAAGGTATTTTTCGCGAAAAATTATGAAATAAATTTTATTAGAACACTCGCCTCCTTCGTCGCTTTGTAAAGTTTTCAAATCCCTTACCAGCTTCGAATTTGGGACAAAAATCAAATCATTTTCTATCAAAACACGAACAGAATCAGCGAAAGTTGGTTGCAAGCCACAAGTGTGGGCCAGTTGTTGTACCAGTGGCGTGCTTAAAGACTTTTGATCAGATCAAAAGAGAGATAAAAAAAGATGCAAGTTTGGGATTGAGATTGAAAAATTCAGCAAAAAAAATTTGCAAAACGTAGGTTTAGGCTGAAGACTTTGTCTTGGCATATTCCCTAAAACATTGATGTTGAGTCCAGTTCCAGCACGACACTGATCAATGTTCGTTTTACGGGCATTTATGAAATTTCCAAGCTGTTCTTCCACTGTGTCATACTTTAAAGGTTTACATGTAGACGAGAACTTTTTAACAAATTTTCGTAATTTGAAGCAAAGATAGAAATTTTTCTTTTCGAATGCTTATAACCAGCTATAATTCTTCAGAACTTCGATAGGCTTCCACTCAAACATGGGACCATTTCAAACTTATTTCACGCGTACTAAAACAGACTCACGTTTTATTGATGATATTTTTGCAAAATTGTTATAAAAAACCTTTCCAGAAACTGGTTAACAAACAAAAAACTATCTCTATTATCTACTTGATTTGAACAATTTCTTCTTCAGTCAGTGCCGTGCCCGCAGGTTTCGGCAC